ATGATGTGAAGACATCTGGAGGTTATTATATTGACAGATGGTCCAGTGACCCCCCCCCCCCCCTCCACATTAAACTAGGGGGGGGCATAATGATGATGTTTGTTCTAATTTATGATCATTGTTATTATCTTTCATCACAGATGTGCAACAAGTCCTTCTTCAACTCCCAGAGCCTACTGCGCCACAGCTTGAGCCACACGGGCCACAAGCCCTACAGCTGCGACGTCTGTGGCAAAAATTTCTCCCAGTCAGCCACGCTGAAACGACACCAACGCATTCACATTTCCACACAGTCTCGACGCCGCCGTGGACGAAGACCGGTAACGTCTACCGCTTCACCACAACCAGAAAATACCCATAAATCTGTGCTGACGTCTGATTCCAAGAGCATTCTGGGAAATATTCCATCATTTATCAGTTCAGTCCGTTGACAAAGTTTCTCTTTTCTCCTTGTTCGTTGTCTTTCCCTCCATTTTCTCCCACTCAGATCTGTGCCACAGACAGTGAGGGGGGGAATCTGCTGGCATGTCCTCACTGTCCGTCCCGCTTCAACACAGAAGACCAACTCAACGACCACAAGTAAGAACGACTCCTGTTTCACCCTGCTTAAATACCATCAGCCCCCCCCCCAGACCCCCCCGCAGCGAGGTCTTTTCACTGCTGTACAGTCCCACCTCAGGTGGAAACAAAAAAATAAATAAAAATCCACTTTCCTGGGAGGCCGTTTCCAGCCTTTAGTTAGATAACGTTATGTAACAGATAAATATAGTCTCACTCCTGACCTCTCCCATTTTACTGGCTTTCTTTCATCTTTCAGACATCGAACTCTCAGTTCACCTGTACAGTGGTCAGTTTTAATCAGATTAAAAATGAATGACCATATTTCTACACATGGGCAGAAGGTCGTGGTAATGTCTGTCCCATGAAGATGACGTCTAGTCATTTTCATCAACTCTTAAAATCAAAACAAAACCTTTTTGTATTTTTTTTTTTTTGTCAGGTTTCTTTTTCTATTATTCATGTTTTTTCCCATTTGTTCATTTATTATGAATGATTCCAATGTGTTTGTTGGTGTTTGGTTATAAATCACTGTGTGTTTGTACTGCTGGTTACCTCAGTTAACCATCTTAACTACCCGTCCTGTGAACACAGGCTCTTCCACACCAGCCACCCGTTTCCCTGTGTGGACTGTGGAGCAGCGTTCACACGCAGAAAAGACCTGGACCTGCACTCACTCACTCACCAAGGTCAGACACCCCCCCCCCCCCACCACCACACCCCACACGACACCCCCCCCCCCCCAATCCCACCACACCCCCCTCCTTTAAAAAAAAACCAAACAAAATAATGATTTATTTTCATTCTTTTACATTTTCAAAATAACATAAAAGGTTTTGGCACCCTGTATAGTTAATAACTATTAGCCAACCCCACCCCCCGATCTGCAAGGGCACCTTTCTCTGTCCTGTGCCTCTTCTTTACAGCTCTCAACTTCAGGTGCATTGCTGCCACCTACAGGGCTGGAGTGTTGCCTCAGTATGTCAGAAGACGGAGGTTTTTGATTCAGTCAGTAATTAATACAAATGTCGGGTCACTTCTGTCACAGAGTGTAGGCCGTGTTTGTGTGCGGTTCGTGTGCTCTTACTGCTGAACGCTGCCATCTGCTGGACTGGTGGAGTGTCAGTTTTACCCAGTAGCAGACGTCCAGGTTATACAGTACGTGCATTGTTCTTCCAATACATTAGGTCGATGACTTTGTATTGATCTGCCTCCCCCGTGAAATGGAGGGGAAAGGTGGAGGTAAATGAATTAGGTCGACATGTTGACTCTTCATCTTAATCAGTGCAGCGTTGGCGAGTCAACCTCGTTATTCAAGGCGGAGGAGTCAGCGTGCACCGGGGTCAGAGGTACCAGGCTCCTCTGGGAGAGATGATTGTGGGGATTGAACTATTGATCAGTTCAGGGCCGTAGGCTTGGATTGTCCTTATGAAAGCTTTAATTAGAGGGTCCCAGTGGGGGGGGTGGAGTGAAGATCCTCCCTGCTGGGGGTGAAGGTACAGATGGTTAGCAGATTGGAAGATGTTGGTGTGACGACCTCTGGATACACTGATGAACCATCAGAGTCAGCCATTTTCTGCCTGTGGGGGGTGGGAGGTGGGGGTGGGGTGTAACCAGCTAATTAGAGCTGAGAGGATGAATGGATTAGCTGATTATCTTTTTAACAGACACTGACTAAATTAATTGATTTGTCACTAATCAATTTTCAAGTGAATATGTATTTAATTTACTGAGTGCTTTGACATCGTTTGGATTTGTTTTTGTTCATTTATTTCCTGTTGGTTTCAGATCCTCAGTTCTAAGATGATGGTTTGACTTAACGAAACAACGATAACGATGTTTAATTAATCACAGCAGAGAAAACTTTTTTTTTTCCTTAATTATGCATTTAATGTCCTGTCATGGTACAGACCCCCCCCCCCCCCCCCCCCAATCACCGATGTCAGTCAGTGGTGAGTTGACGAGGACGAAGAGTCTCCGCCTGTGACTGACGTTGTTCTGATCCTCCACAGATAAGAAGCCGGCCGTGTGTCCTCACTGCTCCTCCCAGTTCGTCAATCACAGCCTGCTGGAAATCCACCTGCAGCGCTGTCCCACCACGGACGAGGAGAGAAACGCCGGCCGAGGGCGGGGTCAAGGCCGAGGGCGCTCCACTGGTCAGGTGGGTGTGGTGTTTGGTCAGGGACTGACCTTCACTGTTGCTCTTCTTCTATTAAGAGATGCCACTGATGTTGGTCGACGGCAGCCAATCGTGTCACAGCGTTAAATACAACGAGGAGCAGAACTTTATTAATTTTATTCTTTATATCCTGTCCACATGTCAGTGATGTAGAAACACTGAAGGGGGCGCTCACTTCCTGTTCCACCCTGTAGGGCCGTCCCAAACTACTTCACTCCATCAGTGTTGGACGGTGTGTTGGCGATGCCTTTGTTCAGTGTAATAAACTGCAGGACGCCCACTCCTGAAGAGAGTTCTAGAAAAACATCTGAGTCGGTTCTAATGCCTTTGAGGTCAGATTTAAAAAAAAAAAAAAAGAAGGATTAGTCAGGTCTGACAAAGAAGATGAAGAAGATGAAGAGTGGAGCGAGAGCACTTCCTGTTTGACTGTGTTGGTTCTGCCGTGTCTTAGAACAAAGTGGAGAAGAAAGTGAAGCAGTTTTGGTCTGGACTTGGTTCAGTTTGAACGGCGTGTCCTTTATCTGGTGGCAGTATAACAGCTCATCAAAGTTCATCCCTGACCAATATATCAGCAGCGGTCAGGACCGGGCCCGAGGTCGACCGTTACAAAAAGGTCACCAAGTCTCCGTCTCAAACTTTTCCTCTGCTGACGTCAGAATGGAGCCATAAAAACAACGACCTTTCTGTTTTTATTAACCCCCCCGGTCCTCCC